CGCGGGGAGAAGGGTGAGTGGGCCCAGCGAGGTGCGTGAGACGGAACCGCACGCGCGTGGCGGGGCACAGCCCGTCGTTACAGTCGCTCTGTGGTGTCCTTAGTCGTGTCGTCAGCCCCCTACGGGCCGACTGTGACCTGCGCTGTCCTGTGCGTGTGCGTGAGCGTGCGTGCGTGTGAATATGTGTGTGTAAGTGTGCGTGAGTGTGCACGTGTGAGCATGCGTGTGTGCGTGCGTGAGTGTGGGAGTGGGAGTGTGCATGATGTGTGCACGTGTATGCGTGTGTGTGCGTGAGTGTGCATGTGAGAGTGAGTGTGCGCGTGAGTGTGCATGTGTGTGACCTGCGCTGTCCTGTGCGTGTGCGTGAGCGTGTGCGTGCGTGCGAATATGTGTGCGTGTAAGTGTGCACGTGTGTGTGCGTGAGTGCGTGCGTGAGTGTGCGTGTGGGAGTGGGAGTGTGTGCATGCATGTCTGTGCGCGTGTATGCGTGTGTGTGTGTGTGCGTGTGAGTGTGCATGTGTGTGAGTGTGCATGTGTGTGAGTGTGCAGGAGTGTGGTGTGCGCAGGGTTCAGTGTCACCCGCAGTCTCAGTCATCAGGTCCTGGGTCGACCCCCACGTGCTTCCTGGCACCTAAACTATCCCCTGTCAGGGTGCTGGGCTTCAACCCCCCACCAGGGGGCGCGATGAACTCTCCCATGGGTCCTGCACCCACCTTTTCTCCAGCAGCCTCTGCCATGGGCCTGTCGCCCACCGAGGGCGTTTTCTTTGAAACGTTGCTTGACTCCTAGGAGATGGGTCGTGTCATCTACTTTCCGTAACAGCAGCTGAGGCTCAGGAGAGGCGCGTCTGTCACGTCGAGTCATCAGTGCCTGCAGAGGCGGGCGTTTGGGCTGGGGTTTGAGCCGGAGTTTTCTGATTACAAACCGTAACCCGCCACCTGCTGCCGCCCGTCCCGTGTCCTGTGTCCTGCAGCTCAGGGACTGAGTCCCGTCTCCCAGCATCCTGACCTGGCTCTACTTAGTGCCCTGCTCCCCGCCACGCCCGTCTCGAGGTCCTGCTCACCCAGGCGATTGTTTCCTTGGCCTCCTGGCATGGCCTGTGACACCCCCATTTGTGACTGCGTCGTTCACTCCCTCATTTTAAAGGCCTTGGTGGCTGACCTCTCCAGCTCAGACCCCTTGGAAGCATCACGTGTCCTTGTTCCGGCGCTGGCTCAGCCCAAGCCTCCCTGACTCACAGCGCATGTGGGGGACGCCACCGCCTCAGGCCGTAGGAAGGGCCGGGCCTTCGCGCACGCTGCCTGAGCACGTGGGGGGTTGGTCTTGTCCTGAGCGAAAGGACACGGGGACTAAGATCTGCCAAGAGGAGAGTAGTCGCCAAGACCTGGACCGCAGAGGCCCGTATTGAGGGCGGAAATGTGAGCCGGGGTTTTGGGGCCGGTGGCCGCGGCTCGTGCTCCTCGGGGCTTCAGAGTCGGGGTGCGGGGACCGGTGGCCGAGGCTCGTGCTCCTCAGGGCTTCAGAGGGACCCCAGCTCATTACCCTCTCAGCAAGCGTGTGCTGAGAACACAGGCCGGGGCCTGGTGGAGGGGCCGTTGGGGGATGAGTCTTCTCATCCGGTTGACAAACTTTTACAGTACTATTTTGCCACGACTGTGGAGTTTTAGTCACAGTTTGCACACTAAAAACCTCAAGGACACTGCCCAGGGCTATTGACTACTCTGTCCAAAAGGACATGCTTGTCATGAGATCACGTTTGCCCGAGGGCGGGGCGGGGAGCCTCAGTGACTTGCAGCCTGGCGTGTCCGTGTCATGAGCGGAGGCCCCGGACCAGGCGCGGCAGCTTCTGCATTCGTTTCCAGAGCTGCCCCCGTCCTCCGGGAGCCACCAAGGGGCCTGCCGGGAGACAGCACGGACCAGGCCGAGGTCAGGCAGCACCCCGACCCTGGCCGACCGGACGGTCTGTGCACCTGTGACTGTGCCCACGAACACCCCAGTCCCAGGAAGCCCCCAGGCCTGGGGCCACGTCTCCACGCCAGAGCCTGACCGTGGGGTCCCCGGTCAGGGTGCTGTCTCCAGGCAGGAGGGGTGTGTGCACGGTTCTGGCCTGGCCTGGGCGGTGGTGACGGGGTGTCCAGCGTCTCCTATTGGAGTCTCCCTGGCCAGGCGATGAAACAGCCGGGACCGGGGGGCAGTGCCACCTCCTGCTATCAGTGGGGGCGACAGACGTGCCCTTCCCTAACGAGCAGCCGGCGGCTCAGCGGGTTTCCTTTTACGCCACTTCTGGTCCCGACAGCACCCCAGTTAGCACCCCAGTTAGCGGGGTGGACAGCAGCTCCTGGGGCAGACTGTGCCCGGCTCCCGTAGGGAGGCGGTGAGGGCTCGCGTGCTCTGCTCTCTCCGGTTGGGTCTCCTTGTCACCTGGGGAATTCTGTCCAGTCTGATGAATTGTGTTGCCATTTCGAAGGATTTCCAAGTATTCCCACGGCTACTCCTCACAACACTGTCCCTCTCACCCCACCGGACACACGCACAC